CCTGTCAGGCAGGGTTGCTTTTGTTCTGTGCAAGACCTAGCGAGGTTCTCTAAAACGATACGTCTACCTTGACCGCTTTAAAGAATGGTATCCCACTTAAACCCCTGTCAGGCAGGGTTGCTTTTGTTACGTGCAAGACCTAGTGAGGTTCTCTAAAACGATACATCTACCTTGACCGCTTTAAAGAACGGTATCCCACTTAAAATAAGTGGAATGGCCTGCTAGCTGTTAACTTCTACAGCAGCGTACTTCAGAATTGCCTCTGGTTCTCTGCCCTTTTTTCATCTGGGGTTTGGTGGTGGGTTTTTTCCCAGACTTGGTCTGTGGAGCACTGGTGACCCTGCAGTTAGCTTGCATTAGTGCTCTCCTGGTGCAAGGGACCCCAAAGCTGCCTGTGGGTGTCCAGTACTGGAAACGAGGAGCAGTAGGGTGCAGACGTGTCTCAGCAAAGGATGCTACACTTGCTAAAGGTTTGAGGCAAACGGTCCACCACCTTTACCCTGTGGATCTATTGACTTTATAGGAAGGTGACAACACCTCAGACGTGTCTCAGCAAAGGATGCTACGCTTGCTAAAAGTTTAAGGCAAACAGTCCACCACCTTTACCCTGTGGGTCTATTGACCATAGGAAGGTGACAACACCTTCCTATAAAAAGCTATAAAGCCTCTTTGAACGTGTTTCCAAGTTCTTATCCTATGTTGTGCAAAAGCACCTTGGAAATGAGGTTCTCTGGTGGCTGGGGGAGGGGGGAGGCAAGGGAAGGCAGCTTCTTTCCAAGTAATTTCTTCTTTCCTTTTGGAGGATTAACAGCTGTGTAGGGGAGCAGAACCACCAGGCGTTCATCCTTGCGCTCTCCTTCTTCATGCTCACCGCTGTGTACGGGATTACACTGACCCTGCACACCGTCTGTAGGGGCCGAACTCCCTTCATGGCATTGTTCTACTGCCCCGGGGCCTATTCTGACTACAGGTGAGACCTGTCTGGGAGAGAGCTGGGGTGGGAACGGGCTTGGTCAGGCAGTTTAGCCTCCTGTTCCTCGTTCTGTGCTCCAGGCCAGTGCTGTTGGCTGTCAAACCTGACCAAAAAATGCTTCCTAAAAAGCTCTGGGAAGTGGGGATGAACCACTGCTTCTGCCGAGGTGGGAAGCCCGAGACTCGGAGAGACCTCACCATTTATGTGGAGAAAGTCATTGGAGGAGCTAGGATTTGAAATCTTTATCTGTATAGGACACAATAAATACGCCCTTACCTGCAACGTGGGGCAGACACATTTAAGGGTCTGACAGTCTGGAATCTGTGTGCTGTCTCTCCCTGTCATCCCTCGCTGTTTATCTAGTGACTGTCCTTCCGAGCTGTCTGCTTAGAACAGACAGCATTCATATGCCTCGTCTGGCGGGGGGGGTGGGGAGGAGCGTGGGACACGAGTTCAGAGGCTGGCGCTACTGCCAATGTGCGGCGTATGCTGGCACGAGTGACACTACCTTCTCTGTACTCCCATGGCACGGTCTATCGAGTGTGAGCATCGTGCCCTCCAATACGGGCCGAGTACCTGTACGAGGGTAGGAGGGAAGGGCTGGGTGGTACGACAGCAGTGTGCAGGAGGAGCTCTGGTAGCGTTAAAAGCTCTCATTAAGTAAGCCCTAAAGCTTTAATTTTGAGAAAGCTTTTAAGGATTATCTGATGAAAGTGGCAAATCACTGTGGCAGATGTAGACAGGGATTTGAAAGGATAGTGATTACCAGGGAAAGTCACTCTGAAGCAGCTGCTCCAAAACTAAATGGCTTCCTTCCCATCTTTTTCCCTGCTGCCAGCTCTGCTCTGTCGTTCACCTGTGTGTGGTACTGTGCCATTGTAACAGCTGGCATGGGATACATCCTCCTTATCCAGCTGTTGAACATCAGCTACAACGTGACCGAGAGGGAAGCTCGGCTGGCTCTGCGGGACAACACGGGGCGCAGGCTCCTGGGTGGGTTAGTGATAGACACTGGCCAGTATAACAGGGGTTTCCTATGCAACTGGGGCCATTTCTTGAGCCTGGGGTCTTCTCCTCCACAGCACTCTGCTGAAGACATCGTGTGACACCCCTCCTGCTGCGGATGACGTTGACTGACTTTCTTTAGCAGGGGAACGGCCCCTTCCACTAGAACTCCCTCCTCCCACACCCTTCCTTTGTGGTCGGTGTATGGGCTGCCTGTCCGTTGCTGACAAACACCGGAGGCTTTCCCAGTCAGAACGATTCTTTGCGTGCTGGCAGCCAGCAGCAGGATGTGGAAAGCAGTGAGCCATATGAGCAAACCTGGAGAGAAGGAGCCTTTTCCCACTGTGGGAAACTGCGCAGGTCAGCTCGTCAGGAAGAAGAGCACAAGGTTTTTGAGAACTTGGAGTTTTCATTAGGTGTGAACCTTGGCATCAAGAGGAACCCTCTGCTGGACTTGAGAGCGTGCACTGGTTCCTGCAAAGGTTAAGGAAACCCCGGCTCATCCCTATGTGCGATGCTTCAGACACGTCACGAGGGTGGACTTTTAATACAGATGGACCACTGCAGAAGCCACGCCCTTTGGCTGAAAGGGACTGTGTCGAGGCGGTCACTGAGCGGCTCCCTCCTCTCTGGTGCATATATCTCTCTTTATTTTCCAATGTAATATTCCATCTAGCTGTGTACATGCTTGTATTAAGTGCCTTTTGTGAGCAGCATTCCTATAGGGCTTTGTAAGATCCCGTCACCTCTTGACCCCTAAAGTTGTTACTCCATCCCCCTCTGTTCCACTGGGTGAGAAGACACCGTCATCTTCATTCTGGTTCTTTCTGCAAGCTGGGTCTGTGTTGGTTTGAAGGCTTGGCTCCTCTCCCTTGACGGGTTTCTGCTCTGATTATGGGTTGTGACGTGAGACAGCAGGTAGATACACCAAGTGAGGAGGAGATGTTTTGAAGCAATGCATAATGGGTAAAAGAGTGCTGGCTGATGTTCCTGTTGTTTTATGGAAACTACCTCCTTCTGGGAGAGCAGACCATTCTAACAGCATTTTTGGGAGGTGGTATCTTGGCCGGTTGTGTTGCAAATAGTACAGTGCTCCAGCCTCCTCTCAGCCCAGTCACTGTGGAGCTGCCTGGCTGCAGATCCCTGTTCTCAAGCCGGGAAGCTGAGGAGCAGCTCAGTCTGTGGGTATGTAGGGAGACGGAGAGGCTGTGTGGGAGCTGGCCACTTCCGGGGTGGGTGACCCGCGCTGGCAGGCGAAGGAATGCGTTAAACGCGTTCTGGAGGAACACCACGTGTTCCTCTGCCGCCTGCAAGCGTATTATCACGCAGACCTGAGCTTCAGCTGAAATCACAAGGTTTTGGTGGTGATGGCTTCTGGTTTTTGTGGGTGGGGAGGTTGGTTGCTTTGTGTTTCAAACCGTCGTGCGTGCAGTTGGCCCTGCAGTAATAACATGAGAGGTCTGGCTGGAAAAGCACAGGATGCCCTTTGGGCTGTGCCTCAGATGCAGAAGCAGAGGGAAGAGCCTTGTCCTAGCTAACCATAGACACCTGCGGCGTGCCCGGGTTATCCCTGCCCTGATTCCCGCTGTGTGCCAGGCGGCTGGGAGACGTTGGCTCAGCCATGCAGGCTCACTGTGCGTGTTATCCCTGAAGAATGGATGGATGGTAGCAGGGTGGCAAGCGTCTCCTGAGCTCCCTGCCACGTTCGGTGTTGTGCGCCCCTGCTTACATGTCCCAATTCAAGGTGACAACTGTGTCCCTCTCTGCACTGTTTGGTTTCCTCAGATGGCACTCTACACAGCAGATAGTTGAGGAGCAGCTGCACTTGGAATGTGGCTGTGCCGAAAGCAGTACTGACTGTCCCTCGTTTCCTCTTGCCCTTTTTAATCCAGTGAGCAATTCTTTACAAGGAGGTGAAAGGGAACCCCTCTCCTGCTTCCTGCCTCTGTGTGAACACGCTGAGAGGTCTCTGAGCGCTTCCTTGTTGGGAAGAAGGTGGCACTTGGTGCGACTGTGCTAACTGTTTCTCTGGCTGCTGAGTAGGACCTTCTGACTGTTTGGAGCTGGAGCCTGACCCAAAAGACCTCTCCTCAATGTGAGTCGTCTGTAAACATTTCCATGGCACATAGACGCTTTGTGGTGCCTGCCGGAACGAACCGAAGCTTGGCAGCCCTGGAGACAGGGGTGCTGTGGGCTAGCAGGTGTGTCCTCTCAGACCTCATCCTGCTGGCACTTGGGAAGACTAAGGCTGACTGACCTCCTGGGCTTCCTGCAGCGGGGGTAGCCAACCTCTCCGTCCTGGAGTTACATGCACAGAATTCAGTTGTGTGCGTGTGAGCTGAACAAGCTCAGGTTTGAGATAGCTGGTTTCTCAGGGTCCTGCTGCTCCTGGCTGGGAGAGCAGAGCAGACGCAGACAGTTTCCTTGGCAGTGCCAGTCTCTGCTTGCTTTCTCCCAGGAGCAGAGGCTGTTACTGCTTTGCAGCCTGTTTGTCAGTGTAGCCTTGTCTCTCGGGGGTTCTGGCATGGGAGATTTCATTCCAATTGCTCACCCCCAGACTGCCTGGAGACTCCAGTGCTGTTCTCTCAGGCAGCATGGACTTTGGAACAAAGGACCTCGGCCTGAGGTAACGGTTCCATACCTTGGGGAAGCCCATTCCAATACAGTGGGGTTGGAGTGCTGTAGTAGATTCTGGGTTTGCACTCACTCCAGAGGGAACTGGAATCATGCAGGACACTAAGATGTTTGCCAGGTGGGTTTTTTAGGAGGAGGACGCAGTGCTGGTCCCCCAGTGAAGAGGAAGCTCATGTGGCTGTATCTGCATAGCAGTGGTGAGTTTTTCTTTAAGGACATGGCTTTTGTTTACATCCCGATAGGATTCACCTTGTGTGAATGCCAAGGGAGGTGGGAAGCATAAAGTAATGGGATATCTGAAAGGGCGGAAGAGTTTTGGATGCACACGTTAGAGCTCTCTTTTAATAGCCCTGAGAACTCTGAAGGGTGGGCAGTACTCCCTTCTGCACTTAGAGCCCGGGCAGACTGTTGTCATCTCTTGCGTGCTCAAGGACAATTTCTTTCCTGAGTATTTTCTTGCTGAGCTTGTTATTGGCCGCGATGGCGGAAGAACGCTAAGACGTAGGCGTAGGGTCAGCCCTCGGGCTGCGTTAGTAGCCGCCTGGATCCATGGGGCCTGGGTGTCGGAGCAGTGGGAGCAGGCTGCGTTTGGCAGGTCACTCGTGGGTCGTGTGCGTGTGGCCCTGAGGTGAGGACCAGTGTCTCGCTGTAAAACTGCCTGCGCATACCTGGCAGAGCAGAAAGCGGTACGCTGCTGGCCGTTAAGCGCTTTCCCTGAGTGAGGGACCCAGAGCTGGTCAGAACCAGGGAAAGACTTCAGTAGTATCCAGCTGTGATGTTTTCCCACCCAGACTTGGAAATGAGTTCATCCCGCTTTCTCCGTGCCCTTTTATGAGGCGTTTGTCGTTTCACAGATCGGTGGGCTTGTGCAGGCCAAGGCAACTCTAAGGGGCCAGGGTTCTGGTGTCGCCGCTGCTGTAGGGTCAAACCCCCTGTGTCCATGCCAGCACCCTCCCGTTTGTCCGAAGAGCTGTGTGCCGTTAGATGCACCCCGTGAGGGTGGCCTGGCACTCTGTGTCGTCTTAAGCCCTGCTTTTCTGTAGGTGAGTCAGGTCCCTGCACCGGCTGTTTCTCCATCTAACTTGTCCCCAAATGACAAAAGTCACTGGTGAGCCAGAGTTGGCGCTGCTTGTGACTCCTAATCACATCTCAGCCTTTATGCTATGATGGTGCTTTTTTTTTTTTCCCCCCTTCAAAGTAGGTTGCTTTCAAGTGTCTTAATGAAACCATTTGCTGTAAAATTTCTTCTGAAGATGAAATGGATACTGCCTCGCTGCCTAATGTCTTAATGACGGGCTCGGGTTTTTCCTCCTATCTGAATGTATATTGCCTCATTAGGGCAGGAAGCGTGTGTGATTATGGATGTGTTTTCCTGCATTGCTTTCAGTGAAGAACTCCACAGTTTCCTAGGATTTTCTTCCCCTGTCAGGATGCTTGTACAGTGAAAATCCTTCTGCGGACAGGTGGGGCTCTTTCTGAAATGCAGTATTGCAGCCTCCCAGGATCTTGCCTTTATGGAAAGCCTTGGCTGATACTGTGAAGAATGATGGGCTCTGGAAGAACTGTGGGATGTCTTGGGTTTTGGGGTGGTTTTTACCCTAAGCTTTAGGAAAAAACTTTGTGAGCTTTGTTGAAAGGACTGGGGGGTGTGTGTGTTTGTGTCCGTTTTGCATCATATGCAGTGTTTCCAAATGGATGACTCGAAATAAATGATTGGAAATCAGCGGTGGAGTAGCCTGTTGATTTATGCCAAGACACTCAGCCAGGTTACGTGGCTGAAAGCTGCTGTCATCTTGTGGTTATCCAGCTGTGAACTGGACTTGGGAATAAGGGAGCAACAGGGTAAGGAGAAGCTAGGAAGCAGGTGCTCCTCCGGTCCTGTAGAAATGGACATTTGGGTCTGTTGGTATCAGGATCAAGCAGAGACCAGCTGGCAGTTTCCACCACCCTGGAAACTAGGGACATTGCCCTGCAGTGGGGCTTTGAACGAGGATCTTGCATCCCAAGAGCATTCTGGACAAGGGGTAACAGCTTTAAATTGAAAGTGGGGTGGTTTAGATTGGATATCAGGAAGAAGTTCTTCCCGGAGAGGGTGGTGAGGCACTGGGACAGGTTGCCCAGAGAAGCCGTGGATGCCCCATCCCTGGAAGTGTTCAAGGCCAGGCTGGATGAGGCTTGGAGCAACCTGGTCTAGTGGAAGGTGTCCCTGCTCTCAACACCTGTTGTGCATTGGTCAGTGGGTGGTGAGGAATTGTATCATATGTATCATATGTTTTATTTTCTATTGTTTTAATTATTTATTATTAGCAGTATTTGTATATATTAATTTAGATTTAAGTAGTAAATAGTTCTTATCTCAATTTTACGAGCTTCCTTATTTCTTTTTTCTCCAATTCGTCCCCTCCACTGGAGAAGGGGAGGGGGGTTGGTGAGAGCAGCTTCGTGGTATTTTGCTAGCCGGAGTTAAACCACGACAGGGAGTTTGCGATCATTTCGGGTTTCTGCGTTTGCTGTTGTACTAAAGTTAAATCCTCCCTCCCTGTGCAGCAGAAGGGAAGTCTGGCTGTGCAGCCACCTCCCTCCTTTCCTAAGAAAAGCAAGGAGTTGCCAGACAGGAGCGCGTCCGAGCTGTGGGAGTGTGGATCCATGACCACATCGAGGCACTGACCCCTGCATTTCAGCAAGTGCTGGAGCAGGAGGGACGCTGGCGGAGGCAGTTCCCTTGGTCTGACAAGCTCTCGGGTGTGTCGCCTTCCTGCTGGG